GGAAATAATTCCTTCATAAAAATTATTCTTCAAGTAAGACAATGGTAGAGCGAGCTGTGGATTTAAATGCCACTTCGCGGCTCGTGTTCAATCTATGAAAAGGTCGACTTTCTTAGGTTCCTTTCGACCGAGTGAAGTTAAATTAGGTACTTACAAAAAGTTGTCTTTCTTGTTCTCTCAAGTTATTTTCCCAAAAATTTACTTTCTAGCAGGAAAATGTTCATTTACAGGCTGAATAAGGTTAGATTGCTGAAAAAAAGTAACTAAGTAAATCTACTAGAAAAAAAAGTGCATTTAGTCCGAGTTAGGTTAGATTGTTTAGAAGAATATAGATCGTCCTGCTTTCCGTTGTTAGCTTTGATATGGAGAATATGTAGAAGATACCTTCATGAATTGAGTGTCAGCAGCTCTGATAATTCAACTGATTAGGCTTGGAGAACCGAATCAGTTTGATTCATTTTGTAGTCTTGGGATTCTAGGTTCATCATCTTGATATCTGTTCAGCAACAAGTATTATCGCGTTCTCTTCATTGTATTTTATTATATTTATTGTACTTATTATGAATTTCAATATGAAATCTTGATATTATTGAATTACAAATTTCTTCGCCGCGGATATAATGTCACGGATATAATGTCCCAGATGTTCTGTCGCGGATATAATGACTCGCGGATATAACGCCGCGGATTCAATGTCGCGAATATAGTAGCTGTGGATAAAGTGTCGTAGAACCGCATTATACTACTTCTATTTTAAATATAGGCTGGTCGATCGCGTGTTCCCTTCCTGGTTTGCCTTTTGGAAAAGGAACCAGTCATATTACCAGAGTGACTTGAATTATATTTGTATGAACTGTATATAGATCCTCTCGACCCTCACTTGCATAACCTCTCTATCCGAAGTGATGAGTTACAACTCCAATTTCTGAGACCAGATGGATTTGTTGATAATGTTCTGGAAAACTGTACGAGCAGTGATGAGGCGAAAGAATTTGAAATGTACGATTTTCAATAATCCTCAATGTTCCACGTCTATGATGGATCGATGAATCGAAAGAGTGGTTTCAAATTATCAATAAAAAATATCAACATCAGCAGGGCGTGTAGCGCTCAATTGCTAAAATGATCATTATCTAAATGCTTAATTCTGTCTAAGAATTACATGTTGGGTTTCTGTAAGAAATTCTTACAGGCAATCTGTATATTGAATTGTTAGCGGGTTGCAACATTCCACAGGGTGTCCCTAGAAGGTCTCTACAAAAACTTACCACATATTCCCTACATCAAAACAATTCGATACAAGCAAATTTACCTTCGTACAAAGTTGCTCAGTTTGGACGCAGGATGGCTCTGAAGTTAGAATTTTCAAAACGGTTCCGCTTCATAACTTTGAAACGGCTTATCAGATTCCACGCAAATTTGGTAAATTGGTATTTGGCAATAAAATTTCCATCATGATCATGTTAAATATCATTCCATGGCTGTAGCACTTGATTTTTTTCAGTAAATATATATCTGAAACTTTCACGCCAATGATAAAAAAAAACGTAATCTGAAATATAGATTTTTTGCCTTTTTCACTGCAAAAAAGGTACTTTTGATGAAATTCGATGGCTCCTATGGTTTCGACAAAATTTGAATTCTAGTAGGTGATTCAAAGCATATCAGTCAACACTGAAACGGATTACAGATATTTCCTTAAAATTGTTCAAGATTTTCATCCAGAGATTTATAGGACGAAACAAATTTGAATGTGCTTTCAGCTATTTTTTGTTATTGTTTTGTTTGTGTTTTTTTTTTGTACTGAGTAATCCAGAGCCGTCTAGCACCCAGACTGGGCAACGATGTACTGAGTTGAATTTGCTTGTATTCATTTTTTGTCGTATAAATCCTTATTAACGTGAAAATTTTGATCATTTTGAACCATTTCCTTGACATATCCGAGGACATAATATCTGTTGATTGTTACATTGTTAACTGATGCTTCGAATTACTATTTAATCTATTTTGAGTGATCTATTCTTGTCATTTGTAACTTTTTCGTAGTGAACAAGTTACGCAATCTGAATTTCATTTTCAAACCCTTTTCTTCTACTAAGTTCTACGACCATGGAATGAAAGTTATCATAATCATGATAATGGTTTCATCGCCCAATGAAGCCATGCCAACGTACCCAATTTGAGTGAATTCTCATGGCCCGTTTTGAAGTTACGAAGCAAAAATAATTAGAAAATTGTAACTTCAAAGCCGCTTAGCGCCCAAACTAAGCAACATTGTTCTGAGGTAAGTTTGCTTGTATAGAAATGTTTCGGGTTGAGGAATATGTGGCGAGTTTCAATGAACACTTTTCAGGGACACCCTGTATATGTGTGATGCACATAAAAAAAACGAAACCCATCAACAAATTTCGTTTATTCGTTTAATACGGTTCTGGCAATGAAGGGGAGTCCCGTAAGGATCCTTGCTAGGATTTTGACATAGTAACATTGTATTCAGGCGTAATATTGATGAATAGCTGGAATACTATCAAAGGAAATGAATTGTGGTCTCTAATTAATATCTGGAAGTTGTGTAATGGCCGAATTGTATCTTCATTATGTACGAGTATCTGTTGATGGTGATTTATTGGCTACAATGATTAATGTTAACTGTTTTAGGTGAATGAAATGATCGGTAAACATGGAGTATAAAATACAAATCAAAGATTTATGTTGAAATGGGAAGCGGATTTTCAAAATTAGACTGGTTATGAGGAATAATTATTTTTGAATTCGTGACACGTCTATGCAAATGAGTAGGTATTTGAGATAATATTTCTCTGTAGATGAACATGATATCTACTAATTATTATGTGGTGTGAAATGAACTATGATTATTGAGCCTTCAATCCATGAAAATGGTCTACATAAAAGAATTAATGGCCCCGATTTCCCCAACCTTAAACGGTAGGTTTATATGAAATGATTATCAATGATAATAATAAATCGTCTTTATTGGTAGGTACATCATTCGCAGAAAATAGTCGCACAACACTAAATGTGAAACAATTTTTTTTCACAATACCTCATATATCTGCAATTACGAATACAGGCGTAGTATCATTCAAAATGCGGCTTTTCAATTCAACCCAAGCTGTTTTTCAACTCATCCCATGTGTTTGATGAACTTCTCAATAACTACTACTTTGAAAGTTATCTGGCACAATAATCACGTCATATCATACCGTCATATATAATCATTGAGAAAATACGAAACTAATATTGCAGAAATAATTCATTTTAGTGATGTCACAGACTCGTAGTCCTCAACCACTACTGCAATTATATTTTTTTTTTCATTTTTGTGAGACTTATTGATGATAATATCATAATTCAAACTATTGTTTTATACTTTCTGTAGGAAGTAGTGATTATTTTATTTTTCTCATTGATACTTCATGACATGAAAGCTATCAACTATTGAAAATAAGAAACTCGAAGGCATTATTTCACTTTCTGATGCATGTTTTCTGAATAGTCCACCTTGTTGATTCCAGAATTTCCTCCTGAGTGAGAAATTATAAATGATCATTATCACGTTTATTATACTTTTTCATGAATATCCATAATATGTTTGGTTACATAATATGAGTGAAAATAAAATATAACTAACTCAGCTACTGTTGTTTATTTTCTCTGTTTTAATTTTGAAAGGAAAACGAAGAACTCAAGAAGAAGGCATGCAGATCAACAATTTCAATGAGACCACCATAAGGTCCTTAATATCTAAGCTTGTTATATTAGTTATATACTCTTTCATGAGAATATCATGATGTCAAGTTCCTCAAGAAAGCTGCTTCACAAAAACATGACTTCTCATTTTGGGCAGAATGCTGCTCTACGTCTCAACAGCTTTTTATGGTCAATGAATCAGAGTTCAGGCCCATTTCATCAAACTGTCCCCACAAATGGGGTCCAGTATCCAGACATACGCAGATTTCATTCAGAGACGTGTGATTCGTCTGGTTGTTGATGCCACACTCACTAATTTCTTAATATCATCAGGACACCGAAGGAGAGTCGGTGACCTTTCACCTCGACTTTCACATAGTGTTCTTCGGATATCTTGGCTGTCGTTTCATATCAACAGGAATACCAGCCCAATGGGCACATGTACGTTCATTCAACGTTCATTTGATGTTAAATGGGTAAAAAATTCGTAACACGTTGATTTTTTAATGATGTCAATGATAACGTTATACGAATACGTTTATGAATTTGTTGAAAATACGAATATTCCAACTTTAATATAACTTCTGATTCAAAACTTTCGGGTGTGTATAATTTGCGGACTGGAATAAAATGTTGCGGACTGGCTATTTCCATCAAACTTTTCGATGTTTTCATTGCATATCTGGATTCAGCTCACCGATATACACGATGAAAAGTTTCAGTTTTTTTTCTATGACCCCCCTGGGGAGCACTTTACTCCTATGTTTTTTCATAAAATCTTGCGGACTGGGTATTTTTGAGAGTCAAATCATCTCAATTTTAGCATAAATCGATTTATCTCATGAAAATACACGATGAAAACTTTTTGAATGTTTTCCCCATTCCCCCTGAGGAGCACTTTACTCGTGTGTTTTTGCATAAAATCTTGCGGACTGGGAATTTTTGAGAGTCAAATCATCTCAGTTTCACCATAAATCGATTTATCTCATGAAAATACAGTTAAAGTTGCAATATACAATATACATGTGTGAAATTGGAATATGAACAACTTTTCTAATCTTCATTTTAAGCGATTCACGCGTGACCCCGACAAATAATTTATTATATATAAGAAGTTTTTTCCATATTATGATACCAACTTTATGAAATACACTGTATTATTTCATAGTCGAAAGCAGCTGAAAATTCTGTTCTTTCAGGTGGTTGCAGGTTCGAGTGTCCGAGGTTGGTTGGATGGCTCTTTGGAACAACAAAATTGGCTCAAACTTGTCCAATGTTGTTCCAACAAGATGGACGCTAATTTGAAACATAATTTGCAAGGAGGACAGGTGAGTACAAGTTGCCAACTCTCATTTATTTTGAAGGCGATACCTTCAGCTCACACATTATACAATGATACTCTGTGTTTCTTGTATACTAATTGAAAAACTTGAATACATTGGAATTCCTTTGCACTTAAAATTTTACGACTGGAAAAAACTGACTATATGTACCTATATAGGAATATCGATCGAAGAGTCCCATCCACATGTTCATGTTATTTTTCATCAAGAATCAAGAAACAATACGCCGAAATTCAATGTTGCTTCTTCACGGTCTTCATCAGATATTTCACAGGGAGATCCCTGAAAGCAAATACCACACAAATATTTTTTTCTTAGGGTCATACGTCATACTATTCACAATATTCTATTTTTGATCAAAACAAATATATTCAGGATGGGACATCCCATACGATGCGAAGTCTTTTTTGATGTATGTACAAGGTTATCCATCGAAAAGGCCCACCCAATAACGTTATTGTTTCATCGAAGAAAATTGGGATGCTCAAAGACAGGGGCATGCCAATTTCCAGATGATTTGATCCATTATTTTAGTCACAATATAAGATTATATTTTTTTACGTAACGTACAGTTGCTGAAGCTCAGAGGGGGTGCATTTCAGGACATATGTTTATGTAAGGAAAATGCCTTATTTTGATGTCAACAGTTTGTCCTGAAAATGTTCAGAACAAATTTTGAATCACCCTGTATATATAGAGTACAATATCTTCAATTTCCACTTCTATATCACGACTCATTCGAGCATAGAAAAACAAATTTTTTGTGAATAATTGGTGTTCACTCGATCAGTTTGGGAATGTATTCGATGATGATGCAATATACAACTGTCCATATGCATTCATGGCTAACATGTTATCTGTCAGTGGAAGCCAACACACAGAAATTGTTTTTTTATACGGTCACAAAAGTGCTGATAATAAAGTAAAAAAAATATCATACTGTATATTTCTGTGATGACAAAACATCACAGATTGAAAAATATTTAATCTAATCTTCTATATATACATATAAATATTACAAAAAATCCATATATGAATATGAAAACAATTCTGTATGAGGTGCCATAACCTGTATATGTATATATTTATATATACAGTATGTTATCTACCTATTTTCTTCTTATTACTCCCGAAGCATGGCTTTATAGGAAAATCTTTAACCAGAGTTTGCTTTTACAGCTGTGGTATGAAACTTTTCAAGACATACCAGCTGGGACTGAACTGACATTGGCTCCTAGAGAACCACTGAATCTTCAAGATATGTTTGGCGACTCACCTTCAGCTGACGAACGATCTGATAGAGAAACAGGTGAAACATTTTTTTTTATCGATGATATAATGAAAAGAAGGAAGAAACTTACTCATCCATAAAACAACAAAGAATTCATGCACACTTATTTAGATAGAAATGATTTTCTATATTGATAAATCACGTTTCCATAACAATAATCAATGGTATATAGAGAATAGATAGTTTATACAATAAAATAAATTATTCGAGTAACAAACTATTTGTGAAAATGAGGAAAATGTATACATATAGGGACAAAATTCCCATTCCCATAAGGTACCTTGTCGAATTATTTTATCTCCCTTCATCGATCATTTTTTCTGAGCAAATTCCTCTTTATATCTTGATCTTCATTCAGGACCTTCGTCAAATTCTTTCCAAACAAAAAATCATATATTCAGTAAATCAAACATTTCTGGAAAGAATCACTCATCTAAATGAAATCGAATCGAAATACGTTAATAATGAGAATGAAGTAACATACATATTTTATGTTTATTCATAACAACCCTATACTGCCATCAATTGCATCCTGTTCATAATAAATCACCCCCGCACGTTGATTTGCGCCAATTACCCTGTCAAGTGAAGTCAAAAGTTCTGAAAACTCAAAAAGGGCATCTGGCCGGATATGGTCACCTTCTTCCGGTCTATCAGCGAATCGTTGAATAAAATCAAGGGCCATATCACTCGCGTGTCTATATAAAAAGATTTCCATTTCGCCACGCGTTTTCGTTATATATTTATCATTGAATGGAAACATGCGATGTTTTCTTCTTCAGTGATCTGAAAAAATAATTAATAATTATTCATAATGAACAAATCAAAATAGATCTCTGAATGAATGAAGACTCATGTACTGTAATAAAATTCATTATGTAAAAGGTTATATTATTCTATTTCGAAGGGTAATTCAATCATTAAATAGAAATCATATATTCCCTGAATTCAAAAAAATACAATCAATCCTGGATATTTCTATACACGTTTGTGAGGGTGGAACATTTGATTTATTGTGCTTCAGGTACTTCTTCTGGTCTAAGACACTGAAACTAGAACTCTAGTACATACATATACAATGCTATTATAAACAGTTATTTCAATAATACTTCACTAGATAAATCATTATATTCATGAGATATATTGTATAAGTATGTCTTCATCGTGATTAAGATTTTGCTCCATTCGGCTGGACAAATATTGTTATATAAAAATCCGAATATATATAACGGCTATATACGCGTGCCCATAAGACAAATAACGAATGGCAGTCCGTATAACAGTCACGTGGCTGAATTCGTGACTAGGTTTGGACGGATTATCATGGCTATTGTAGGACATTCTCACCCTTTCGGATGGAGTTGTCAGCCCGTCAAACTTTATTTATGATATTTATTATGAGTAATGCGAGGCTGTGTGTACAGTGGCGTTTATACATTATGGATATGTGAATAGATATACACTCGTTGATATACGATATACAGGGTGTTTTGAAATGGAATGGTCTTCATGCAGGTAAATCACTACAAGGAGAATACAAATTCTCAAATTCAGATTATTGTTTTTTCAAATTGTAATCGTATGTGTTCAATACAAATAATTCAGAGTTCGTTGTGGCTTATAGCCAGAAAAGTAGTTGTTTTCTGTTGAATAAACCGAGAAAGAACTGATATTTTCATCAATGTATTTCTTTATATATTATATACATCAGGCTGATTCACGGTGGATGGTACAATAGACGTTGCTGGAGAACGGAAGTCAGGAGTATTCTGAAAATTTGATACCTTGAATGATTAGTTGTGTTCTATCGACCTAAAATATTCTCAGCATTGCGACGTTGCCGTTTATATTGGAAACTAGCAACAACTCATATTCTTTCAATGGGACACCCAGTATATTATTCCATTTCCAGATCCTTCCTGAAGAGCTGATTTTATTGACCTATAACACTAAGGGTCTAGTCGATATAATTACAGAGTTATAGGATGTGAAAAATCTCGATTTTCACACCTTATATCTTTATTATCATTCCCGCTAGACCTCAAGTGTGATAGATCAGCTCTTTAGGGAGAATCTGGAAACGGAATGAAATGCAGGGTGTTCCATTGAAAAAAACCGAAGTTGTTCCTACATTTCAATAAGCGGCAACGTCGCAGTGTTGGGAATATTTTTGGTCTATAGAACACAACTAATTTTTCAAGGCACCGAATTTCCAGAATCTGAGTTATATCCTCATCCATATTTTCATGTTCATAATTGATCTGAAAATATTCTTTTTTACTGCGAAAAGTTGAGGTTGTTGAGTAAGAAGTTTCCGTTGGTGTATCCATATTCAAGATCGAAGGTGTTACGATTTTTTTTCAACATTATTCACGATGAAGACGAAACTATACTGGTAACATTGTAGAGAAATGTTGTACGATTATCAGGAAGCTGATACATCGCATGAATTCGTTTTTATATCTGACTCTCATGAAGGATGTTAACTTTTCAAACAAAACATTTCTGGGGTTAGATTTTCAGTCCAAATCTGATCTGATCTTGAACATTTATCATATATATATATATAATATATATACCAAAAAGGTATACTCTTGGTGATACTCATTAGTATGTAGGTGAGTTTTTTTTTCGAGATATTTTGCTTATTCAACTAATTGAATATTTCATGTATTCAGTCGAATTTCTCTCAATTATCTGCTTGTGATTATTTTTCAGTGAATAATTATAACATTTGGATAATGTTGTTGTTTTTGGATCCCAATAAATATTCTATTGGCATGTATAGAAATCCCAGTTGGTGAACATTCACATCATGTACTCCTTTGGGAAACAGACAATATAATATATTATATTGAATAATAATGCACATGAAGATCATTCGATTCATACCATCCTTGATGGGTATAAACTGCCAATGACCTATAAACCTATCAACGAGCGATCTCTTCAAAGTCTTCAACCGTAGTCGTTGAAAATTAGATTGTTGTAAAATATTGATCCGAAACCCTAGCTCTCCAGTCAAAGGGCCGCGATACGCCACTGTGAACATTTACAGCCCTCTGATTCTCGTATGAGATTCGGACAGATGCGACAAGTCACGGATCTTTAGGAGTTAAATAAACGTGCGTTTGGGATGTATTAGATAAACTATTTAGGGTTATATTATGTTTGGTCGGCGAGCGTGTGATTGATGAATATGTTTGCCATATTGTAATACATTCTTGCATAATATTGGTTCGAACAGATGAAAGAAGATATGAAATATGCAGGAAACTGATTCCTTCTGGGTGTAGGCGAGTAAAGTCCTTGAAATACTCACTGGGTCAGCTCTCAAACATACGATGCCGATTTTAGATTTCATCCAGAGACGAGCCGTTCACCCAGTGGGTGATGTCAAACTCACCAATTATTTGACATTATCGAAAAATCGTAGAAAAAACGGCAACTTCCCACTTCCCTATAGATACTTCCACGGAAAATGTTCCTCAGAAATATTAGCTATCATTCCATCATATCCTATCGTCGTCAACATTGAGATATGTCGAACAACTCTTTACCAAAACACGTTCGTTTATAGATTGGCGATGTTATGGAATTCTATGCGAAAGGAAGTATCTTAAGAACTTATGATCTACAAGAGTTTGAAGAAATATATCTGATACCTTCTTCGAACAATAGAGATCCCATTTCTTATGCGCCAAAAGAAGAAACAATACATATACCAAGTCAAAATCTGGATAAGATAGAAAAAAATATGTCGAAGCTTGTCCTATGCATTTCAATCATTGAAACCACCCTTGCTGATCAATGTCAGTCAACATTTGAATTGTTTTTGCTTTTAACGATTCAAGGAGCAAACAATTATGAAGTATGTTTATCAAGTCCATGAGTGACGTCTTAGGGTACGAATATGAATTGATATAGATATTTAAAAATTGAAACTTATTCTCGGCACGACTCAGAACCAAGCCAATAAAACCTAACGCTCCATTATATTTTCGATTCAATATCGAGTATCTCTATAACTATGACTAACTACTATCGATATGTTGTACAGATTGTGTACCTAAAGATAGTTCATTGCTTCACTAAAACTTTGCAGAAGAATATGCCCTTGAATTCTTCAAAGCCTTTTCCATACGTCACACTAGTTCATTTTTCCCCCACTGTGTCCGTTCTGCGTGGTTCAATGAAAATTTCAGAAGCGAACCCATGTCGAGAAATGATTACCACTTGCAAATTTATATACACGCCCAGAGTTCGAGTTTCCCGAACCGTACTTGGGCGAACCATCGGGTGGATTACCAATATATATCTTAACTCATTAAAATTCAATCTTATTTATAGATTGCGCGTTGAAGCGATTATATGGAAATTCCATAAAAATTGAAGTATTGTGCATCCGAGAAAAAATTTGCTATGGAGATTTTCCAAATTGATTAGGTATAGAAAAAACACAATTTGCATAAACATAACTGCGGCTCATCAAGTCACCAATTCTGATTATATTTGCTCTTTGCTGGAACAGCACTTTTTGAATAACCGAGCCAGTGCTCAGTAGGGCACTTTATGAATTGACAAATCAGAATAGTTATTTATGTATCAAGGGCGTAAAATAGGCTTTTATGGACCGCAGCGTGTAAGTAATAGACCGAGCGATAGCGAGGGCTATTAACACGCCTAGGTCCAATTAAAGCTAGTTACGCCGTAAATACATACAACATTTTATGCACGACCTGTATATATTTGATATCTCATGTAGGTATCCTTCACCCCTCAAGCACAATAAAATTACATCACGGTTGCAGTGAGACTGTATTGTATTCATATCGCAAATACAATTAATCAAGAAGTATGGAATCAACGTTACCATGGCAACTCAATCAATTTTTCGAAATAGGAATTAATAGGCCATTAGCCATATTAACTGTCAATTTGTGTAATCATACATAATCCATTAGTGATTTCAAAATGAATTCTAGTGATGAAGAAAGTGTGAATTGTACTCCACCAGA